CTCAAATTTTATTCTGAATTGTTTTTGGTCTGTATATTCAGCAGTTTTAGGACCATATGATGTTGATCTATGACCAAATATAAGACCCTTTTATTTGCATTTTGGCATTGTTTTCGGCTAAGACCCATCAATTTGAGCCACGTAGTTAACAGTTGATTAATGACCTTAGTTTGTGGTACAATACATAAGTTGCCACGAATTTCTGCTTATTATAAATTATTCTCAATAAATTCTCTAATTGTATTTGCTCTTTCTCTCACCTCTTTTACACCTATCTATCAACAAGATCAACTCGGAAGTGCAGAAATCAATTATAATATTTAATTTTTGTCAGGAGATCGCAAAATAGAAAATATATATCAAGATTACATATGAATAAAATCACAACAATAAAGAAATATGATATTTACGTATTTTGATATAATATGTTTATATTCACGGATAATAGAAATTCACTATAGTTTCATGAACATGATATATAAGAGTACACAACACTATAATACATACTCAACCTAATACCTAAAGCGGAAAAAATCTCAATTTCTAATACACTTTTATCCATGGTGTTTAATAAAACTTACATAAAAAAACCTTGAAATCTCACATTCTCTCATCAATAAAGATTGGTTCACCATCCAATATTACAAATTTTCTCTTGCAACCTCGACGTGGTAGCTCGTAAGTGGGTAGACGAGACCTATTACAAACTGACTAATTGCGACCTATCACATTGGAGTTGTGAGAGAAAGTTTGTGAGATTGGATTGTAAGTGTAGTATTGCCCTTCTCTTATAACCTTGAATTGATTCTTACAGCTATATTTATAGGTTGTATATATGATATTTTATTTCTAATATAATTCATATATTAATTCTTAATAGGATTTCTATAATTCTATTTCTATTTACAACTGTATAATTTATTAAATAGTTTTCCTGAAAATATACAATTTTACATAAGAACAAATAGAAAAACAAATCACAATATCCAATAATTCTTAATCTGTCATTAGGTAGGATATTTTGCATATTGATTATGGAAAAATCAAGAAAGGAAAATACAAGGAAAATAAGAGGGAGATTGTGAGATAATAGATTAGTGGTGAATTTGGAATTTTTCATCTTACTTTTTGGAGAAGAAGACTTGGTGAATGCGATTTTATTTCATAGTAAGGTAACTATTTTATTGACTTATAAGATAAAACAAAATTAAACAAGTACTTGGAAATTCTCGTGATTTTAACTCAAACCAACTTTAGTTTGTGTTAATAGTTCTACTTAAACGATAGTTTTTCTTCCAGAAAATCTGCATAAAATTTCCAGGCCGGGGCAGATCCAGCCCAGTTAGCCCACCCTCAATTTTATTTTAAAAAATACTAATATATATAATTTTTGAATTTGAGTCTACCCTAATAAAAATATTAATGGATAAAAATATTGATATGCATCGTAACAAAAATTTCTGGGTCCATTATTGTTTCCAGGAGTGCACTTTACAATGACCGACACTGAAAGTCGAATCGGCCAAGAATAAGTTGTAAATACAGAATAAAGCTACAAAAATATAATTAAAAATGCGTGGAATTGACTATAAAATTGCGCTCTTATTCGTTAATATAGTCTCCATTATAGTCATGAATGACTTGGACTCTGCACAAACTGACAGATTAAGGAATGTTCCGTGAAACTTAATATATATAAACCTATGTTTGCCAGCTAACCATCTGAAGAAATTTGCTGTGAAATTGTATTAAATAATACTTTTCTAGACGGCGATTAACCACTACTTTGATTATCTTCTTAATTATTGTTTAAGGAATGTTGAAGAAGTATGTTTAATGTGATTATTATATTAAATTCAATGGAGAAATTGTATAAAGAATTTGTTTACTTGGTTTATATATAACACCACTTATAAAATATATTGTTTTTTGTTCAATGCAAATGAAATAATTAATTGATCGATGGAGTTAAATTATCAAACTGTTATATATACACATATATGCTTTGTAGAGAGAATATGTATGCGTATTTGTGTATTTTATTTCATTGTTTTCTTTGAAAGATGGGGGTTCCAATCAATGAAAGGGTGTAAATAATAATTTGGAAATTGTAACCGATCATCAGAAGGTATTTATATATATTTCATTGTTTTCTTTGAAAAATGAGTGTTCAAACTTTGGATGTATTTATAGGCAAAATGAGAAGCTCGTTATATGTATTTTTGTATGGATGAATGTATTTGAGAAGTATTTCATGCATATATTTCGATGTGTTTCATAATTCAAAAGGTCTTTTTTTATGATGAGAAAACTGCAGCAAGTTACCAAACTGTTATATATATACATATATGTTTTGTAGAGAGAATATATATGATTATTAATTGCATGTAGACCTAATTGGGGCCATAAAATTTTCACCATCTAAGAACTTGCAAGTTTTATTGTAACGTGTGTTTTAGTGAATATTAAACCCAACTTCTATATAATTAAACTTGTTAGAAGTCATATTTGTCTTACATCACTAATTTAGTGGGCTATTATAGTATATATATGTGGTTTGGTTCCTTTCTTCTTTAAGCTAGTTTTTGAGTTTGAGTTCTACCCAAACCAATTTATTATGGTATCAGAGCCACCTTTGTTAGACCTTTACATGAAATTACTAATGACTAGAGAAATTTACATGAAATTTTGACGTGATGGTGGGTCCTAGTGGGTTTGGACCCTTGTATGAAATTACTAATGACTAGAGAAACCTGCATGAAATTTTGAGACGATGATGGGTCTTGGTGGGTATGGACCAACCCCTGCATAAAATTACAAATGACCAGAGAAACCTCATAAATTTTGAGGATAATATAATGAAAGAACCTTCAAACCAAGTCAATTACATCAAAACTAATGATTAGTCCTAGTGGGTTTGGACACCAGTGTTATCAAACCCAACAACTAGAGAAACCTACATGAAATTTCAAGGATGATACGAAGAAAGAACATTCAAACCAAGTATATATACATATATATTAAAGCATTTTCAATTGTAAGCCTACCAGAGAAATTTTCCATAAGCAGGAAGAAAAGCTAGCTAGCACCGAAGTATTACGTGCAAAATTGAATAGACATTTTATGTTTCAATTTCACAAATGCTGGCGGGCTTCTGTTATAACTTTTGGTGTCAAAAATTATTAATTATTCCCCTTTTAGGACAAGACATCTACATCAATTTTTCACATTCACTGTACACTTTAGTCAATGAACGACTTTAATTATTCACAACCTATCCACACAAGGAATGTTCAATGAATTTATAGAACAATTATTTTCTCCAAGGTGATTAATTAGTACTTTTCAAAGCATATAATATTCGGTTTTCTTTCATTTATTGGACCTCAAGTTGGGCCTGGTGGATCAGATTTGGTTAGCCCAATATTTGCCAACATAACACAACCATAAAAAACAACCGCTTATGTTCTCAGCCAGGCCCATATCTTCTTGGCCTTTTGAATAGTTGTTACATAAAATGTTTTTGGGCATCCAGTCTCGAATTTGCTTTGGTCACTTGGTAATTTGTTACAGGTTAAACATTCCATATGAAATAGACATGTTCAGTCAATCTGTAAGCTTTCAATCCTCTAAATAAGGAGAAGGTTTTGGGAGATATTTATGTGAATTCAAAAGATAAATCTATGTAGGGTAAGGCCAAAACGAACAATATCTAATTTATTGAACTACTATTAAGAGATCCAATCTAAGTCATCATCTATTTATCAAACAAATCCGTTATCCTAATGGCAACTAGCCTGCTACGAAAAATCACATTAATTCAGCATTCATGTACACAATCTAATCAATAATTAAATTGTTCAATCAAAATCAGTGGAGATTGCACACTGTATATTATCACTCTAGAGTGACAAAGCCTGATTCACCTGTTAGCTCTTTCTCTTATTCTTCTGCTTCTTTCTCAGCTTTCAACTTTGCTTCTTCTTTTCTCTCTTCCAGGGCCTGGATTAAGCTTCTCAGGCTAAGCTCCACATCAGGTGGAACTGTTTTTGGCATCAAATGCTCTACAACATCCGCTGGGCAACAATTCACAAATTGGCTACTTCTTGTCTCTCTTTCTTCTTTTCCAAGTTTCTGTCTCGGATCCATCTCGTTATTATTTCCTCCTTTCTCCTTTTTCTTCCTCTTTTGACCTGTAAGATCAAGCGAACAATCGATGTCTTCAATGACAACAATCGATTTTCTAGATGTTTCAATCAATAGCTTTCTCAGTTCAGTATTGTCTTTGACAGCAGTAAGCTGAAGATCATACAAATCGTAGCCTAAAAGACTGGCCATGGCAACAATCATAGTAGACTTACCAGACCCTGGAGGGCCATATAACAGGTACCCTCTTTTCCAGACTCTCCCCAATTCTTGCATAGAAGTCTAGTTAGTTGGTAAGGAATCGCAAAGAATGAGCTGAAGAAACAGAGGTGAGTTTGAGAAGACTGATTTTTCTTATTACTAAAAACCGTGACTGTTACACATTTATAACACAAAGGAGATACGAAGGAAGGGTAAAATAGTAACTTTTAAAGCTTAACTATTTTAACAGCTAACTGAGTCAACTATTCTTAATATCCAAATATCCTCCGTTAAACAAAACCTCTACGACTATTTGTCATTACTCCCAGTAATGCATGTTACCAACTATTCTAATAAGTCTTCAATAATTTGGTTCTTCTTCTCGGGTTCCATGGCGAGTGTCTGGAATGTTGCCGGGTTCTCAAAGTCTCAAACACCACATTGAACCATTGTTAGTATAAAGCTTTCGCATCCGGTTCCTCAGCTTGATTGCCTTGCCTTCTTTCAGGACATTAACAAGATAAGGCTTAAATAACAACACTTGGTATCACATAGCAGAATCTGATGTGAAACTGACTAGAGGTTTGTTTTGTCTGCTAGTCCTCAGTCGGCTACTTAGGGACGGCGTTGTAACCTTATATATGATGATGAAGAGCTTTAATGATCGTGTTTCAGTTACGTGATTATAGGATTGTCGACATAGTTGGGAAAGTGTGTCAGTTGCAGTGTTTGATACTTTGATTGACATTTTTATCTTATCTACTCCAAGTCGTAGAAACTGGAATGGATAACAGGATAAGAATACAGAGCTGGCGCCACTGACTCTCAAAGGTTTGCACTTTGCACACATGGTCCTTGTACCAGTTTGTGATGGCACCATATGGGTCTCATATTTTAATATTTCAGCCTCAAATAACTTTTATTCCATTAGAGAGAGGTTAGTTAGATGATCTGATAATTGTACCTACCATGAACGTTTTAAGCATATATATGTTTTTGGGCTGAATATTTATGAGGCTCTTATTTGTCCACTCTCAAATTGGTCAGGTTGGTCCAAGTGTATAATGGTTTTCAGAAGGAGAGCTCATGGTAAGTGCTTGAGAGCGCCATCTTTGTATGCTTACTCTCTAGGAATTTGAGTCCAACTAAACTGTAGGAGACAATTCGCTGAAAAAAAATCCTCTCAGTTCTGTGTAATTACATGCATTAGAAGTGTCTAGATCCAGCGCACTTGAATACTAGAATTGATACTTATGATTCAAGTTGTTAGCTTTTACTTGAATCTTCTTTCTTGTATTTCGGGGTATAAATTCTGCAATTCTATATAAACTAAGGTCAGCATTTTCTCTATATGGAAGTGTTAGCTGTGGAAAATATATTTATTTATTTATTTGTTTATTTTTGGCTGCTAATTGTGAGTATTTAGATTTGTTTTGAATAGATGGTTTGAATAATTATTAGCTATCTATTTTGGCTTTTAGCATTGGCGTCGGCTGTAGGCTGTAGCTAGTTTATCTACAACTGATCATGTTTGATTATATCCCATACGCGTATATGTAAGATAGTTTCATTGGAAATATGATATGAATGAGTTCTGTGCCACGTGTCCAGTTAAGCCCATTTTATAATTCCCACAAATTTCCAGCCGTCGATTGTAACTTGTTAAGGAATCTGGTCCGCTTTATCCTACATGCCTACCCAAAATTTAACACGTAGCCTTAACCTCCAAAAGGCGAAATTGATCCAACGGCCTAAAATCCCAGGTGTGGACGTTAGATCCAAATAACATTAGCTTTTTTTCTCCTAGAAACTGAATTTAGCAACGCTTCCCATTTAAAAGCGGAAGCCAAAGTCTCCTCAAAGAAAGCCAAAACCTCACCCCCATTTTCACGCAATACTCGTCCAGATTGTAATTTAGATCACTCCGAGGTTATTTTCGTACTTTCCCACTACAAAATTCACTGGGACACAACTTTTTTTTTTTTTTTACTTTTCCAAAGTACTTTACTTAATTTAATTGTTTTCCAATATTTTCACATGCTTTGCCAAATTATTTGATGCGTATGTGAATTGTGTTATTCTTAGGAACACTGAGAATTCAAGTGCCATGAGAGGGCAAAGCAACGGTGGTGGTGTGAGAGGTTTTGCGTCTCCAGATAGGGGAGCGCACGATAAGAGAGGTACCCGAAACAATAACCATCACACCAGCAACAACAACAACAATAATCATAATCATGATTACAACAAGTCAGGGGCATCATCGGAAACAGCCCACGACAGCAAAAAAGGAGGGTCTTCTTCTGCCAGCGGCGAGGCGGCACCATCTGTTTGGCCACCGAAATTCGTGATTGCTTTGACCAACAAAGAAAAAGAAGAGGATTTCATGGCCATTAAAGGCTCTAAGCTCCCACAAAGACCCAAAAAGAGAGCAAAATTTATTCAACGCACTCTCAATGTAAGCCTTCTAATGTTTTCATCGTATTTTAGATCTTTGAGCTTGTTTTAGTAATCAGGATTCAAGTTTTGATTAAATTATTCTGAAAAGAAAATAAAATGGGTTAGAATTAGAATATTATTGGAAAAGTTGAGGTATAACATTTAGAGCACAAGGTACAAGTGAGTAACAGCAGGGTGATATTTTTTGGGGTGGAACAGAACACGGTTTTTAAGGATGTTAGCAGTTATACTATAAATTGGTTGTTGGGTCGGAGTGTGATATATGTGAAACTATGGTCTGCTTTTTATTATTATTATTTTTTGTTATTTAAAAAATAGATAAAACTGTGTAAAGTGACAAGTGAGATATACATATCCACGTGTCAATCAAAGCTTGGACTATGTACCTAATAATGACCTAAAGTTCGTTAGCGTCTTAGTGACCAAGTCCTATTTTGGGTGCGAAAAATTAGAGATAATTTTTTTTTGCGGTGGGACTGGGACCATCACTCAGATCAATTGAAATCTAGACTCTGATTAGGTTTGTTTAACATGAATTGAATTTTCAGATTGATGTTAACAATAATTTGCCTTTCAAATCAGATTTATTTTTATTTACTGGGTTTTTTTACATAATTTTTATTTATTTTAAAATAAGAGGGTGAATAAGTGGGGTCAGGGAATACGTTCCCAGACAAAAGCTGGCTGCTAGCTTGTTAGGGTATGGGAAAGTGGAACTTTGTGGTACAGTTGTTTTATGTTGGTATCTGATTAGGTGGACTGTGGATCGGTGAACACGTGGACGATAGTGATTAAGTAGACAACACAAGACTTATCAACAAAGTAAGGTCTAAATAAAGATACAAAGAGACAGAATGGGCAAAGGACAGGACGGCCCTTTGCTCATTATTGCGGGCATTCCTGTAATATATGTGGATTGTTGGGTGGGGTGAATGTGCTTTTCTTCTTTAATTCTATTTTTTATTTTATAATAATAATAATTTAAGGTAGTGGGTTCCTGTCTGGTCCAGCCTGGACCACACTAACTGGGAGGAGAAAGCACAATTTGCATATGATTGTTTTTAAATGCCATTACTGTTGAAGATTCCTTTTCTAAGTTATTTTGAAGAAAGCATTTTAAAAAAAATAAATTAAAGGCATGAGATCCTCAACTTCATAAAATAAAGCACAATGGTACTTTAAATGATTCTCTTTTGCTTGACATTTTTGTATGTTTTATTTTTGCAGTTGGTAAGCCCAGGTGCATGGTTATGTGATCTAACCCTTGAACGGTATGAAGTGAGGGAGAAGAAGATTTCTAAAAAGGTAGTTAAGCTTATAAAGACAACCCACAAATTCAATTATAGTTTTAGTTGAAGCTTATTGATTTTGTCTGATGCAGAGACCTAGAGGTTTAAAGGCAATGGGTAACATGGACTCAGATTCAGAATAAGCGGAATCCCGGTGTAGGCTGTATTTGTTAGGAGAAAGATAATGAAGAGGATGATCAAAGGCGTTACGGTTTTTCTTTTCTTTTCTTTTTTTTTTTTTTTTTTTTCTGGTTTAGGATCTGAGAAATGTTGAATTGTGTAAATCGTCACACTTTTAACCCTTGGAAGAATGAAATGATAAAATTCCATCCATATCTATTAAGCCTTTAAGGGTTAAAAAAATAAAATGGAATCTATTTAAGGTAGGGGTGTTCAATTCCGGGTATCCTGCACTTTTTGAAGGAACCGAAACTAGAACCCATGATTCCGGTTCCTAGATGCCCAGAACAGAACCTGTAACAATGGTTTCGGTCCCAGATCTGGGTATCTTTAAGATAAATTCTCAAAAGTCAAATCAACTCACTTTAAATGTTATGAAATATAAATATAAATGTATTCACGTTACTTTTTCTACAAAAGTTTTTATTAACCTCTTAATATTTAATTTAATTTTATGTTAATCTCTGTTCTTGGTTCCTGGTTCCAATTCCGGTTCCTAATTATAGCAACCAGAATTGCAATCGCACAGTAACAGTTTCAAAAATTTGGAATCGGAACCTACCCATTGACGATTGGTTCTGGGTAGAAACTGATATCAAACCTAGGATACCTGTCGGTTCCAGTTCTAACCGGTTATTTTGAACACTCCTATTTTAAGGGTGAGAATTTGAAATTTATAAAACCTAGGGTACCAATCTTGGATTTCGTAAAACTTTGGGTGAGAATATGTCATTTACTCTAAAATTCCATATATATCTATTATACTTTCATTATCATTGTTTTTTTTTTTTTCAGATTAATTTACAGGTATTTCAATTAATCTTTTGAGATTTTAAAATTAATGGATTAAATAAGTTTTTAATGGTTATCTTTTATTAATAATCTGAATTCAAATTTTTTTAGTAATACAAGCAATAAGATATTTGCTTCTTAACAAGATACTTGCTTCTTAGTTCTTACGTTCGTAAATATCTAATATCTTGTGTTGATTGATATGGCTGGTGTGGTGGCGGCATTAGGCAAATAGGCCAAAGAATTTGAATCACTGTGGGGTAACCCTGGTTTGTTGCTCCAAACGGCGGTACAGTATTGATTTGATGTAAGGAAAGCAACATTTTGGACCGCTGTTAAGAAGAGATGTCTTCAGAAAGCCTTCCTGCCCATTGATTTTGAATAGTTTTAAACAGAACTTTAGTAACATTTTCTTTATCAGTCTATGATCTATCAGACTTTATGTGATCTGACGGTATATGTTAAAACAACTCCATTTCTTGAGTGAAATAGAAGTGGAGGATTTTGGAAATACTGTATTTAAAAAAAAAAATTAAAATTGTTATATATTATTATTATTATTTTAATTTTATAAAAAAATATTTGTTAATTATAATAAGTAGTTTAAATTCTCTATTTTCCTATACTATTTTTTATAAAATTCAATATACTCTTTTCCTTTATTTTTAAATTAATAATAATTTTGTTTCTATTATTTCTTTATTAATGCAATTTTTTTGTATTAACAAAATTAATATTTCTTTAATGCATATTTAATAAAAAATTCGACCTCAAATTTTTTTTTTTTTTTTTGGTTTCATGATATTGTTATAGGACGATACAAGAAGCACGGGATGACCAGAAACTATGTATGGTAATGAGCAGTCACATTAATAGTGGCCTTTGAAGAAATGTTTAATGGGAGCAGGACCCACAAACTCAAAGTACATTCACATTATCATACGTAAAAAAACAGCAAAAGAGAAACGGGAATTGAGGAGACTTTCGATGCCAAGGAAAACCAAAAACAAAAAAGGAGGAATAATGTGTCAAAACGAAAATGCTGCTTCGAAAAAGGAGAATAATGTATCAAAATGCGCCCCTAATCATGCGCTGGAACGTTAAATTAATTGCATTTTAAAGGGGGTCAATTTTTATTTGTATTTTTTTTTGGTTAAAAATGTTTGTTCATTGCCTTAACTTTTTAAATTCAAACCACTTTGGAGACGAATTCTAAAGAGATTAATTGAAGTAATGCATAAGTTCAAAGTGGTTTGGAGACAAATTCTAAAGAGATTAATTGAAATAGTGCATAAGTTCAAACCACTTTGGAGACCAATTCTAAAGAAATTAATTGAAGTAATGCAAAGTGCAAACTGACCGAACAATTTATCAGAAAAGAGAAAAGAGGGTCAAACATTGTTGACCTCTTCTAAACTTCTATGTAATTTCATTTTAAAGAAAAATCCTGAATTGATTGAAACTAATTGCCGATTTCCCATTTACTTTAAAACTGAATTGGTAAGAATAGGAAGGCGAAAGGAGTCAAAGACGCAGAGACGAAAAGACATGTAATTCAACGACAGGAAAAGAGCTGGCTGCAAATTCATGATCTAAATGTCTTCCACGGTGATGAAAGGGTGATAACTACTAAATGGTGTGAATATAAAAATTGTAATCTCACCTAATCCACTCTGTGAATGGCATATAAAAATCTTCTCATAAAATTAATAATAATGCAGGAATTGGAAAAATGACACGTACCAATACTGCAAGTTGGCAGGTCATGTGAATGGCGTATATTCAGTTGGTCAATTATTGTCATTGATATTGAAAAACATGCTGAGTCAATGTTTCAGAATTATATATTTATATTATTAATCAAATTCCTTTTTCCTTCGTCTTTCATTTCTCCTCCACAACCAAACACAAGGACAAGGAGTCATAATTAATCAAACTAAATTAAAAAAAAAATTCAAATAATTCATAAAAATATTAAAATACGATTCAAATATATAGAAATGAAGCACCAAATACAATAAATCTCTTATTATATACTAATACTAAGGGCCAACGCAACCACACAATATCGTCGTCTTATACTCCATATAGTATATATAATCACTCCAAAAACACTAGATCTACCAGTCACAAAACTCCACAAATCCTAATTAAATTATTTAAAAAAAAAAAAAAAAAAAGGAAACCACTCCCTAGATCAAATCCTCTAAGCTAATGCCACATCAAACATACTGTAACTGCCATTTAGATCCTGAGAGTAGACCCAAAAAGAAGAGCCACGAAGAGAGCCAAACCAGCAGAGGCCATAGAAGGCGAGATCGAGCCGGTTCCGGAGATAGGTGCTGGAGCAGGAGACACTGCTTCTTGAGCAGCACCACCAAGAGCCATGGCAGCCACCACCACCGCCATCATGAAAGTGATCACTGAAGCCTTTGAAAAAGCCATTTTTTGTTTTTGAGTTATGAGAGTCGTTTCAGAAGATTTCGGTGAACAGGTAGTGAAGCTTGTGATGTGAAGTGGTAAATTTTTGTGGCAGAAAGAAATTGAAGGGTTTATTCATTTATAGGCTGTTGTGACTCTTGTGAGAGAAATAGACAAATTCGGGCAGCGTGTCAGTTGATTGGGCAGCTGCCCGAAGTTTCCAGGTTGTCTATACTCTATAGGTTTGTTGACAGCTGCTTTACTACTAGGTCCACTCTTTTCTAATTTCACTTTCACGCGACAAATCAGGTTTCTATAAATGCGACGTCGCATAGTAATAGATTAGTGGTATCTAATTAAAAAAAGGGGTTTAATTTAAGGAAACTGAAAGGTGTTTTATTCATTGACGTATTCGGAAGGAATTGCTTTAACTTGGAAAGAATTTGTTGAGGCGCGTGGAATTAATGTGAGAGTGGGGATTTAAAGAATGTTTAATGTTGGAATTATAATTAGTAATCAGTAATTTGTGCAAGTAATCACGCAATTTCGTAACGGCAAAAATCGTGGTAGAGCACCCACGTGGGACAAGGTCGTGGGACCAACGGAAGGAAGACGCGTGGTGGACGGAACAAAAAGATTTTTCATTTTTGAATTTGAATCACGGGGTTTCCGGAAGTTTCTGTTGATATGTCTCTGTTCATTAACAGCTACAAGTAAAATATATGGAAAGACAAAAATTGTAATGAATAAACGTGAATGTCACTTGCAATTCTGTAACTTTTTGATTTTTATCTTCTCTAACTCTTAAAACTTTTCAAGTTCTATAACATCAAAATATTTTATTGATTTTTAATTTTATTTATAATATTTCATAATCTTGAAACTATTAATAAATGTATTATGAAAGATAATGTACATTTAACTTTGGAATAAAAAAAGCATTAGTTCTATTTCTTTTCAATTATCTTCTCTTTTCTTATAGTTTATTTTATTATAGGGTATCAGAAAGAGTCTCTAATCATATCAACTTGTCAAAGGAAAAAAAAATTCTCATTAAGTTTTTGTCTCTTATCAAATTTGGAGTTTAAGTTTTCCATTTGCCAATTTTCGTCATGACAAATCTTACAAAACTTGAATTTGTGGCTCTTGATATTACGGGCAAGAATTATTTTTCGTGGATTCTTGATGCTGAAATTCACTTAGATGCTACGGGTCTTGGTGATACCATCAAAGAAGGAAATAAATCATCCAATCAAGATAAGGCTAAAGCCATGATTTTCCTTTTACATCATCTCTACGAAGGATTGAAAACTGAATAGCTTACTGAAAAAGATCCACTTACTCTTTAGGAAAATTTGAAGGAAAGGTATGACCACCAAATAATTATGATTCTTCCTAGAGCTCGTTATGATTAGATGCATTTACGTTTACAAGATTTTAAATAAGTAATTAAATATAACTTTGCAGTATTTAAAATTAGTTCTCAATTGAAATTGTGCGGAGAAAATGTTATTGATGAAGATATGTTAGAGAAAACATTCTCTACTTTTCATGCATCAAATGTGCTCCTGCAACAACAATATAGAGAAAAGGGTTTTCAAAAATATTTTGAACTAATTTCATGCCTTCTTGTGGCTGAACAAAATAACGAGCTATTAATGAAAAATCATGAAGCTCGTCCACATGTTCTACTCCATTCCCTGAAGTGAATGTGATAATATATAATAATCATGGGTGTGGGCGAGGTCATGGCCATGGCCATGGTCGTGGCCGTGGACGTGGACATGGACATGGTCAAAGTCGTAATAATCACAACCGTGGTGTTATAACTATAACTCTTCTAATTATAAAAGACACTATAAGTGAAATAATGATGAAGAGAAAAAGGAAAAGGCAAAAGTGGACAACATAAAAATTCGAAGAATACAGAAAATCTTTGCTATCGATGTGGCATGAAAGGACATTGGTCACGTACTTGTCGTACGCCTAAACATCTTGTGAACTTTATCAAGCATCGTTGAAAGAAAAAGAGAAAAACACAAAAGCAAATTTTGCACCAAAATGAAAATAGAGAAGCAAATTTTGCTTATCAAGGATTATGGACCTAATGATACAACACATCTAGATGTTGCAGATTTCTTCGAAAATCCTGAAGGGAGAATTGATCATTTAATTGGGGATGGGAATGTCTGAAATTATTAAAGTTATGTTTTTGTGAGTGTTTTACTTTTAATTTATTTATGTTGAGTGTTTTACTTATAATATGTTTAAGTTGAGTGTTTTGCTTTTAATGAGTGTTTTACTTTAAATATGGTTAAGTGTGATTTTCAATTTTAGATAAATTACTTTGTTTTGTTGACATTGTAAAATGCTCGACGGTGTACTTTGTTTTTTACTAAAGAAAAATAGACATTCCCATGTCTATGATTGGATCCAAGATTGATGATGAAGATCTTTGTCTCGCAGACACTACTATAACGCATACCATACTTAAAGAAAGAAAACATTTTTCTTCTTTGATAATGTGTAAAGCTAACATAAATACAATATCTGATTGTACAAGATTAATTGAAGGCTTTAGAAGAGCTAATATGTTATTGCCCGGAGCAACATAGTTTATTATAAAAGATGCATTATTTTCTTCCAAGTCTAAAAGAAACTTATTAAGTTTTAAAGATATTCGTTGTGATGGATATCATATTGAGACAACTAATGAAGGAAATATTGAATATCTTTATATTACAAGAATAATTGCAGGCAAGAAATGTGTGTTGGAAAAATTACCTGTTTTTTCTTCTGAATTATACTACACAAATATCAGTGTATTTGAAACACATGTTATAGTAAACCATAAGTTTACTAATCCTAATACTTTCAATATTTGGCATGATCGGTTAGGCTATCCTGGTTCAATAATGATGCGAAGAATAATTGAGAATCCACATGGACATCCATTGAAAAACCAGAAGATTTTTCAATCTAATGAATTCTCTTGTGTTGTTTTTTCTCAAGGTAAATTAATTATTAGACCATCACCAACTAAAATTGGGATTGAATCACCTACATTTTTAGAAAGAATTCAAGGTGATATATGTAAGCCTATTCATCCACCATGTGGACCATTTAGATATTTTATAGTCTTAGTAGATGCATCTACAAGATGGTCCCATGTGTGTTTATTATCTACTCGCAACCTGGTGTTTGAGAGATTACTTGCTCAAATAATTCGATTGCGAGCACAATTTCTAGATTATACAATTAAGACAATATGTCTTGATAATGTTGGTGAATTTATGTCTCAAGCTTTTGATGATTATTTTATGTCAATCGGAATAACGATTGAAAAGCCTGTTGCCCATGTTCATACACAGAATGGTCTAGCAGAGTCATTTATTAAACGTCTCCAATTGATTGCTATACCATTACTTATGAGATCAGAGCTCCCAAGTTCTGCTCGGGGACATGCTATTTTACATACAACAGCACTTGTATGCATTAGGCCAACAAGTTATCACAAATTCTTCCCTTTACAATTGGCTTTTGGTCAAGAGCCAAATATTTCCCATTTAAGAATATTTGGATGTGCGGTATATGTTCCAATTGCTCCACCACAACACACTAAAATGGGTCACCAAAGAAGATTAGGAATATATGTTGGATATAAATCTCCTTCTATAATTAACTATTTAGAACTATTAACAGGAGATTTATTTACGGCACGATTTGCCGATTGTCATTTTGATGAAACAAAATTCCCAACATTAGGGGGAGAGAATAGGCAATTGGAAAAAGAAATTACCTGAAAAATGTCGTCATTATCTTATCTTGATCCTCGTTCTAAACAATGTGAACAAGAAGTTCAACAAATAATGCATTTGCAAAATGTAGCAAATCAATTGCTATATGCATTCACTGATTCAAAAAGAGTGACTATATCTCACATACCAGTTGCAAATGCTCTAATTTGGATTGATGTCCCTGAAGGACAATTACCTATAGCAAATGAATCTAAGACACATTTAAAGTGTGGTAGACCAGTTGGTTCCAAAGATAAAAATCCTCGAAAGAAAATAGTAGCAAATTACCAAGATGTTTACATCAAGGAGGCAAGTTCTCATGAAGAGAATAGAGACATATTTAATCATAAAACTCCAGAAGAAGTTCAGGTACTTGAAACTAGCAAGAATGAAGAGATCTCAATAAATTATGTCTCTATAAAAAAAATATGGAACTGAAAAGAAACAATTGTCGACAACATTTTTGCATAAAATATAGCGCTTGATATTGTAAATAATAATGAGGATCTTGAACCTAAATCTATTGAAGAATGTAGACAGAGAGAAGATTGACCAAAATGGAAAGACGCAATCAAGGCAGAACTAAATTCATTAGAAAAACGTGGAGTTTTTGGACCTGTAGTCTGAACACCTAAAGATGTAATGCCGGTGGGGTACAAATGGGTATTTGTGTGAAAACGAAATGAGAAAAATGGAAAGTCGCAATCAAGGCAGAACTGAATTCATTAGAAAAACGTGAAGTTTTTGGACCTGTAGTCCGAACACCTAGAGATGTAATGTCGGTGGGGTACAAATGGGTATTTGTACGAAAAGGAAATGAGAAAAATGAAGTCGTAAGATATAAAGCACGACTTGTAGCAAAAGGGTTTTCGCAAATACCTGACATTGATAATGAAGAAACATATTCTCTAGTGATGGATGCAATAACATTTCGTTTCTTATTAGTCTGACAACATATAAAACCCTTGATATGTATCTAATGGATGTAGTTACATCCTATTTATATGGATCACTTGATAACGACATATATATGAAAATCCCTAAAGGATTTAAAAGGCCTGAAGTGTGCAACTCAAATTCTTGAGAATTTTATTCAATTAAATTACATAAATCATTATATGGATTAAAGCAATCAGGTCGTATATGGTACAACCATCTCAGTAAATATTTGTTGAAAGACGGATATAAAAATGACCCTATTTGCTCATGTGTTTTCATAAAAAGATCTGGATTTGAATTTGTTATAATTGCTGTATATGTTGATGACTTCAATATTATTGGAACTCTTGAAGAGATTCAAAGGGCAACAAATTATCTAAAAATGGAATTTGAGATGAAAGACCTTGGAAAAACAAAATTTTGTCTCGGTTTCCAAATTGAGCACTTAACGAGTGGAATTTTTGTGCACCAATCAAATTATATCGAGAAAATCTTAAAAGGATTTTATATGGATAAAGCACATCCACTGAGTACCCCAATGGTTGTAAGATCACTTGATGTGAACAAAGATCATTTTCGGCCAGCAGAAGATAAAGAAGAGGTACTTGGTCCTGAAGTACCATACCTAAGTGCAATAGGTGCATTAATGTATCTTGTTAACAATACACAATCGGATATAGCATTTTTAGTAAATTTGTTAGCAAGATATAGTTGTGCTCCGAGACGAAGGCATTGGAATGAAATTAAGCATATATTCCAATATCTTCAAGGAACAATATATATGGGTTTATTTTATTCAAATGAATCTACACCTCAATTAATTGGTTATGCAGATGCAGGATATTTATCTGGCCCACATAAAGCTAGATCTCAAATAGGCTATTTGTTCACATATGGAGGTACGACTATTTCATGACGTTCTACAAAACAAAATATAGCTGCTACTTCTTCAACCATGTTAAGATAATAGCTATTAATGAAGCAAGCCGAGAATGTGTTTGGCTCATATCACTAACCCAACATATTCAAGAATCATATGGCATTGATTACAACAAAGAAGTTCTTAGAACATTATATGAAGATAATACTGCATGCATAGCTCAGTTAAAGGGAGGTTATATGAAAGGTGATAGGACGAAACATATATCACCAAAATTCTTCACTACTCATGATCTTCAAAAGAATGACGATATTGAAGTTAAACAGATTCGCTCATGCGATAATCTGGCAGACTTATTTACTAAAACTTTACCGACTGCAACATTTGAAAAGTTGGTATACAATATTGGAATAAGTTGGTATACAATATTGGAATGCGTCGGTACAAAAATCTTAAGTGATATCATCATGCGGGGGAGTAAATACGCACTGTACTATTTTTCTCTTGAATAAGGTTTTATCCTATTGAGTTTTTCCTGATAAGATTTTTAATGAGACAATTTCTAAATGCGTATAATACACAAGAATAATGTACTCTTTTTCCTTCACTATGTTTATTGAGTTTTTTCCTAGTAAGGTTTCAACCAGACATATTCTTTGTGTAATGGACAGCCAAGGGGGAGTGTTATGAATAAATGTGGATGTCCCTTGCAATTCTATAACTTCCTAATCTTTCATCTTCTCTAACTCTTAAACCTTTCAAGTTCTACAACATCAAAGCATTTTATTAGCTTTTAATTTCATTTATAATATTTCATAATCTTGAGACTATAAATAGATATATTATAAAAGATGATGTACACTTAACTTTGGAATAAGAAAAGAATTGGTTCTATTTGCCCTCAATTATCATCTCTCTTCTTATAGCATATTTTATTATAAAAATCATTTTTTTACTTAAATTAATTAAAAGATTTAAATACTGTACTTCTAAATTTGGTAACTTACAGTCTAGATCTACTAATTATACAATTTAATTTGGTGTTTAGAAGTTAATCTAACCATGATTAATATATGTAAATTGATCAAAATTTGACTTGCAAGAAATAGCTAAGAAGTAGCTGCACAAACTCTAATCTTTCGATCGCTGACAATTGACAGGCTTTGAAAGAGTATGATTTGAGTGGTTTTGATGAGTGATGATTCAGAAAGAAAATGATGGTGGTATAGGATCGCAACAATACCGAAATTGAAAATGAAATATAAATTTAGATGGTAAAATGATAAATATCCGTGAGTGGAAAAGTGTCACTAAACCATAATTTGGATGGGAAAAAAATAGTTTACTCATCACATAATGGTCAAATAGACTAGAGAAAACACGGAATGCATGGAGTAACAAACACTACATGAATTATACTTGTGTTATACACTATTGAACATTGCTACAATACAATATCAGTAAACTAACAATAAAATTCAACATATCAAAACTTATTATCTAATCCCAATGAAGCCATACCAAATCTCTGTAGTCAGCCTCTGTACACATAATAATAAGATGCTTCATCACTGGCGGCTAAGAATTGAAGTATAATCATCAAAGTGACTAAAACTAGAACATAATCCACATGTATGATGCAAGGGATGAAGAAGACGAGCTCCTACTGACCTTATTCATCTGTTTCTAGCATTCTTTCAGAATTCGGAATTGAAAGGTTAATTCAGTGCTCAGAAGCCAAAAACTTTTGATGATATATTCATCAGAGGGTCTAAAGCACTTGGTGCAAATTTTCTTGCGAAAAGAAAACAAGTTGAAGAGGGCTGGCTATTGTATGTGCACTGTTGACCTTCGAAAACTTTATGGAGGAAAAATTCTTCTGTGATATCATTTCTTCCGAATGTAGCCGGATGAGCTCCTCCCCTTGACCAGTCCACCCAAGTGAGGCTTCTGTTTGCTAAGAGTTTTGGCACTAGAATGGCTAGCATCGTGGGAAAATAGTGTTCATCCACATAACATGCTGGTCGACAGAACTGTTCAAATTTTGGATAAAATGTAGTATCTTCCACAATGTTGACTGCCAGCTTTCGGTTAACTTCAAACCACTGGGATCCTTTACGCCACTGGGTAATGTTCACCACGGGAGCCATGTTCTCATTATAACGCCCTCTCCCATATGGTCCAGGGTCATCAAATGCACCCATGAAACTATATTTGGATCTCATTATGTAGTGGTAGATGACGGAGAAGTTATATAGTGGAATGCAGGATTCGGAGACGAGTATGAACCACTCATTGGAGATATCAAGCAATGCGTTAGCAAGAAGTCTTCTCTCTGCATCACACATGCTCATTCTTCCCCATTCAGAGATCTGCAAAGGAAGATAGCACAAAAACCATCAACTCCTCCTAATATTGAGAATATTGGATTCAAAGCCATACACTTGAAGCAGTAAAAAACAATAATTATCAAACAATTTATGAAAAACTTAGAAAGAATTCTTATTGATAAGTTCCTATGACGAGTCTTTACGATAAGCACCCCTTACATCTGATAAGACAGGAAGACAGTTCAAGTATCAAATTTTAACAAGGGGCATCTTCAAGCACATATTGTCTTCCTACTACTCAATTTTAAAATAAAATAAAACAAACAGCATGTATGATTAGGAAAAATAGCTCTTCAAAACCATGTAAAGCAAAACCAAAGCTTATGTTTTAAGGGCTCTTCCTTATTATCTTGATATTTACATTTCTATTAGTCCTATGAAGATGAGTACTTCATTTTGAACCAAAACATAGACCATCAATATTTTCCATCTCCATGTGAAACCCTAAAACTTCCATCTGTTTATATCTTTTTGCTATCTCAAAGATCAGAACGTAAACAACTAATTAATATTGTGAATCCTTATATAAAAAAAAAAATAAAAAAAAAAATAACTACTGCAATTTGATGTCAAGCCTTTATGCTTACAGGCTACAGCTCTACTTTTATACTCAATCAAACACTGAAACACAAATCAAGTCCTAATTATCTAATCCAGTTCCAACACCATTTCTCAAAAGGCATCTTCTTTATACAAATACACAGCCCCACTTGATCCAACACATATAGTGTTAATTCCGACCTCACTCCTTCCCTATCTATAATTGTGTTTTGGTCCCATCTTATTCACCTCTTAACTAATTTGGCCAGCTTTTTATGGCTCTAACAAACAGAGAGCCCAGCAGTTCCCACCTTTTCTTCACATTTACCCAAAATGATCAACTAATGAGAGTCAGTCATTCTCTGTCCAACCCAGTATGGCGGCTGCAAGTTAAAATGAATGTTAGCTTTTTTTTAATAAACTAAAAAAGTAAGAATATTCAAGAATATGGTCCCATTAAATACAGTGATGTTTCACATGTATAGCTAACATTCTTTTGTCCTGTTATGTCTAAATTATGCTCTTATTTGATTCGTGCACTCTCTGTGGCTAGCATAACCATTTCTATTCCCAGTTCCTAACAGCAGCTCATGCAAGGGTCTAGATCATATGCTTATTTGGTTCATGCACTCTCTGTGGCTAGCTCATTTCCATTTCTGTTTCCAGTTCGTAACAGCAACTCATGCAAGGGTTGAGGCACTTGGCTAAAGAAGTAATATTTTATAACTGACATCATCACCTACTTGGCTGACTCACATGTCCAAAACCAACCGCCAACTGAAAAACAGGATATAATTAGATTAAAAGTAAAATTGATTAATCAATGTCTTCCTCATT